GGCCCAGGTCATGACGGGTCTTTCCTTCTCTCCTCCAGAGCATGTTCTCGACAACGCTTTGCGTCGAGATACCGGCGTGATCGCAACCGGGCAGCCAAAGCGTCGTCTTGCCCAACATGCGGTTCCATCGAATCATGATATCCTGGAGCGAGTCACCAAGGGCGTGACCAAGATGCAGAGCACCAGTGACGTTCGGCGGGGGGTGGGCAACGACAAACTTGCCCGCGGGCTTGCACTTGCCCTCGGCCGTGAACTCGGGCTCTGTCACGGTGTCAGCTCACAATTCCTCATCGGCCCAAGTGTGTCTTACTAAAGAAGCCCTCCTTCTCCCACCATTCATACCAGGCGCTCTCAACAGCCTCGGGGTGATAGGCCTTGAAGTGGGGATCTTCAAGAGACTTGAGGCGCTTCTTCTCTCCCTTCGGGGTATCTTCAACATATTCAGGGATAGCCTCCTCCTCTTTCTTCTCGGCCTTGGCCTTCTTTTCGGCCTTCTTTGAGGGAGCAGCAGTTGCGGCCTTCGCGGCCTGGGCAGCCTGCTTCTGCGCAAACTTGGCAGCCTTCTCGGCCTTCGCGCGCTCCTTCTTCAGCTCCTTCTCGGTCTTCACCTTCGGCTCCGCACCGGCGGCGGCGCCAGCGTCCTGGCCAGCAGTATGGGTATCGGCGGTCGCGGCGACCTGAGCCTTCGTTTCGTTCGAGGCAGGGGGAGGAACCTCCTCCTTGAGGCCCTCAGTGGCACCGACTAGAAGACACAAGAACACACAATCAGCTTCAAAGTCGAATCATACGGCAAACGAGATGCGCGGGGTGGGAAAAGGCATCGTGAGAATGTGGGGGTGGATGGAGGGGTAGCCGTACTGGGGTTTCCGCGTCCGCTGTCGGTAGCCATGATGGCACGTGTCTGGTGAAAAGGTCGAAGACTTCGACAAGAACGGACAATTGGACGTGGACTGAGGATTGGAGGGCGCACGCGGAGTGCTCGCAGAAATATTGATCTGGACGTGGTGGATATTGTGGTGAAGAAGCCCGAGGGAGAGGGGCTTCAACTTATGTCCAAATACCAGGTGGGAAAAAATAAGAGCACAGAGGTTTCCCGATGAGGGGCAGGGAATTATGACTCGGCGGTCTGTTTGGCAGCACTTCCTCGAATTTGACTCACAGGATTGGACGTCTAGGTCTGCGCTGAGCGGCGTGGGAGGGAGGGGTCGTCCGCCATCATGCGCAAAATCGGATCCGGCGCACGCCTAAGGCCCTCCACTGTGGCTAGTTGCGCAGGGGTCTCTGCGTATCGATAAGCAACCTAGCCCGGTAGCGGATCCCCTGGCCTGAGAAAGGGTTCCCCAGATGCACCGTGAATGACTGGACAGCCACGGCGTCCAATTGAAGCATCATCAATTCAGTCATCGTCTTGAGATTTGGGACTTTTGTTGTCTTACAATCCGACCTTCCTTTCTCAGATCCTGATTATAAACACTGTTTTTGACTCAATTGATCGATGTCGCAATCCTTGTGACTCAATTGTTGATATCGCAATCTTGAAGACCGCCGTATGCAGGATACTGTAGTTTCCAGGTGAAAACCCGGACAACACCGAAGAAAAGTGGTGACGCGATGTACTCGCCGAGAGCCTTCTCACGGCTCAGTCCCATCCGTCAACCCCCAGTTTCCAGAAGATGGTTCTCTGAGGTCTCTCGATTCTCTGTTCATGGCAACGCAAATAATTCAAAGGTACATTTCAAATATTGCCCCAAAACTTGTCTATCTCTTGACTCTGACCTCAATGGCTTAGAGCAGCCTCATCACAACAATCAAAGGCGCTCAGTCGGAGTATGGCAGGCAGAAAGATGCTCTCCTCATCCTTGCTTCTCGCCAGTTTGCGTCTTGGCTTCAAGATGAAAAGTTCATGGGAAGTCTCATAGAGCCCTTCTCGGCATCAAATCAAGACACCAGCGGATTCCATGCTCTTGCCGCGGCAGTGGATGGCCTTCAACCTCTTCAGCCTCTCGGAGAGATTCCTCACGGGTTCTCCTTCTATCATGGCAACCTCGACTCGCTTTTCCCCAACCTGTGGAAAGACTCTCAGTCAAAACCCTCGAGCAATCCGAAGCTGCAGGCATCCCTCAACTTCCAGCTCAGCCCTCTCAATACGTTTTCTTCTTCTACGACATGTACGATGCCTCTGGCCAACACCATATTCCAGAACGGCAGGCAATCGACGCTTCTAGCAACCCGCTGGAGCAGATCCGGAAGCACAATGGTTCAGGCCGAGGTCGCGGAGAAACAGACCCAAGACGTATGTTTTCAACAAGACCTCGCCAGTGCCGAGACTGCCATTGAGGCGCCATTGGTTCCCATAACAGCTCCTCGCAAGATTCTCAGCGGTCTGGGCAACATCATTCGGCAAATTGAGGTCAATGATCAACCTACCCCGGCGTCAAAGGAGCTCGAAACTGCCGTTCAGACTCTTTTTGATAGACGACTGAATGAAGGCCACGAATTTCCTCCGGGTCCTGTTGGCGTTTGGGCCGTGGTTGTCCCGCCCTCCGCCAAGCAGTCCGAAGACGTGGAGCTTCTGCGGGAGTGGGCAAACAGGCTGAATGAGAACAGTACTGCGGAAGATGAGTGGAAGCACGCCTTGGACACAAAGGGTTTCATGCGGGATCTGCTGAGTCACGGTACCAGAGTTTACAGAATTCGTAAGCCCCCTTCTGAGATACTGACCTAGTCTTGACGTGCTAATGACCGTCGCAGTGAGTGGCGGAGGTGGATGGGGAAAGAAGCAAGGCCTCCTCTCCCTGGACCCTGAAACCAAGTACTCACCCTCTTCCGAGGAAGAAGACCTTGATAGCTTCATCCGCTCCTTCTCCAGCCAACACGACGGAAAAGCCCAAGAAGGCGTCGTGGCCCCGGGCTCATACGTCCAGTACTTCGTCTCTCCTCCCGCCACCGCCAAGCCGGGGTCGTCTCCCGCTCGAAGCTCATTTGCGAGCGTCGCCTTCGGAGCTTCAGAGAGCGCACTCGCGGAGGATACGGCCTCTGCCGAAGGTCCGTCGGGGTGGGAAATCGTGCCCGGTCACTTTGGTGCCGTCAGCAGCCACGGACTTTTCATTGCCTCTAAAGGAAACAAGCTGATACACACCACCGAGACGAAGCTCGACGTGCCAGACACATGGGTCGGATACAAAAATTGAGGTGGTACGGTATATGAGTTGCTTGTAGTCGAGCGCAAAAGCTCGTGTATTGCTCGTGTATTGTAATTTGTAACACCGCAAAATATTAACACCGACATAGACAACACGACTTAATTTTCTACGCTAATTGTGCAATGTGCTCCTGTCTGCTCAAAAATCGGGCATCCTGTCGCGGTTCATCTGTTGTGTCCTGGCGCCTGGCTGTGCGCGGCAATAACGAGCCGGAAACTGACGCAATTCTGTAACTGCAGCTTAAATGGCTGTGTGCCTCAATCTTCAACCTCCACAACTCATCTCATACCATCACCTAATCTCACAGAAACCTATCGATAATAATCTTCATGATGGCTGCCAACGGCGTGACACCCTCAAAGATTGGAGTCATCTCCATTGGTGACATGGGCGTAGGCATAGCCAAGCTCCTCATTGCCAAAGGCTTCGAGGTCGCAACAAACGTCAAAGGCCGCAGGTAGGCAACTCACTCACTCACTCACTCAACACAACCCCCTCACATCTAGCTCATCTCAGTTCTAACCTTCTTCACAGCGAAGACACAATCCAGCGCGCCCGTGACGCAGGCGTAGAACTAATAGACTCAGACTTCGACCTAGCATCCCAGTGCGCCGCAGTCCTCTCCGTCGTGCCCCCGCGCGACGCCGAGGCCACCGCCGACCGCATCATCGACGCCCTCCAAGGCACCACCCGACCCGTCCCGCTCTACTTCATAGACATGAACGCCGTCGCGCCCTCGACCTGCAAGTCCATGGCGGCGGCCTTCACCCGCTCCCGCATCCCCGCAGTCTTCATCGACGCGTGCATCATCGGTGCCCCGCCCCGCCTTCGCTCGGCCCCGAACGCGGGAACAAACGTCTCCTCCTCCTCGGCCCCGCCGACTGAAGACGGTGACGACTGGGTCGTCCCCGGGATGCCCATGTCCGGGCCCGACAAGCTCGTCGACTTCCCGGGCGGCGCAGAAGGTCTGGGTGCGAGGTTGAGCGCCGTGCTGGGCGGGAAGCACATCTCACCCGAGATCGGCGCCGCGAGCGGGCTGAAGATGTGCTTCGCGTCCATGTCCAAAGGCTTCACCGCCATCGCGACGCAGTCGTTCACCACGGCCTCACGTCTCGGCGTCCTGGACAACCTGCGCGAGGAGCTATCCGCACGGCTGCCGACGCATCTCCAGTTTGCCGAGAAGGGCGTCACGACGATGCCGCCCAAGGCTTACCGATGGGTGAGGGAGATGGAGGAGATTAGCAAGACCCATTCGGAGGAGGGCGGTTTTGGGCCCGAGATGTTCCTGGGAGCTGCGGGGGTTTACAAGGCAGTGGAGGATTCTCTGTTGAAGATTGGAAAGAGGAAGAGGGGCACAACGCTCGAGGATGTTGCGGCCGCTGTGACGGAGGGATTCGAGACGAAGAAGAAGAAGACGGACTGAAGTGTAGGAATGGTGAGAATGGTAGATAGCATGATCCCTCGCTGGGACTTGATACAAGGCGCCTCTAGCAAGATAACACAGCAATTTCGCACACATTGTAGTCACGATCGTAAGGGAAGCAACTGTGCTTTGAAGACATTCACTCTGCCTACTCATCCCTCGCCTCTACGTGATTCATATGTACATCCGCTCCATCCGCTGAACCTGAAAGTCCGTAACGCCCTGCACCGTCATCCAGATGAGACCAACCCATTCTCATTTTCGTAGCCCCCTTTCCGTTTATTATTACAGCGTAACCCATTACGTGCGCCAAACCAATATTCACACATGCGTTTTGAAACAAAATGCCGAACCCCATCATCACACATCGCACATTACAGCACAGAAAGCGTCAAATCTCCCATGATGGCGGCCTTGAGCTGAATCTCGATCTCGAGGTTCATTTTCAGATCGACAATGAATCCCCGTTCACCGTCGTCGAGTATGTCGCGCGGATTCCTAGTCCGCACCGGCAAGGGTCTGTCGCCGTCATAGTCCGGCCCAAACTCCACGCCCGGGGGCACGATAGTCCCCTCTTGAGACTGTTCGAGGATCGGTCCCCGAAGGGAAAGATCCATCTCCGTCCGCGTCCGGATCGGACGGCGTCTAATAGGGGGAACCCCCGACGACGAGGAGCTCGACGTCGTGTCGGTGTCAGACGCCGCGGAGGGCGCGCTAGGGTCGCCAAGGCGCGGTATCCTCCTGGGTGCAGACCGCCGTACCGGTATGGCCGGCCGGCGAGGCACCGGGTCGGTTAGTTGTTCATCCTCTGACGGCATCGGTGGCGCCAGCGTCGGTCTTGAATTTGACGCAGTAGGACGTCTTGGTCTAGGCCTCGATTGCCTTGACGAGTTAGGTGGTGGGGTTGGCGGGAAACGGCCAAGTTCTTCAACGTCGCTTCCACGCTCACGTTCTGAGCCGTCTGACACCGACCTTACGTCCCCTGAGTCTGAGGGCGGAGGACGCGCAGAGGGTCTTCTACGTCTAGGCGGCTGAGAGCTGGATCTCTGTGTCCGTTGTGTAGAGTTATTGCGAGGTGGACGTCTGCTGTTGGTTGATGGCGAAGAGCCCTCCGTGTGCTGGGCAGATTCCATCCCGTATAAGAGATGGTGACTTTCCCACGAGACCAGTTAACCAGACGATGACGGAATATAGAAGTAGTTAAGGGGTATTGCAAGGCCTCCGGAACAGGTCGGGATGGCCAGACAATGTCAAAGACAGCAGGCAGCGGTTGCGTATGTCGCGCTGATCTCAGAAAGTAAGATGTTAGAGCCCGAAGGGTTGAAACAAACCCTCGTGTCGTGCTCCTTCAGTTGGAATGTATGTTTGAGTGTCGATCGACGTGGTCACGATTCAGTCGTAGAGAAGCAGCGGCAAAGCGTGAACAGCGGGAGGGGATGCGGTCGCCGCTGGGAGATATAAGCCAAAATGCGTACCAGCGACAGTCATGCTGCTGCGTTGCAATTATCGTCGGTCCGTTTACAGTCGCAGGCGCGGTGAGAGTTAAAGCGTCGGTGTCCCCGTTTACCTTGGGTCTGTTGTTTGCGGTTCAACGGCGACTCTCCATCTTTGTTGCAACGATTTCCAAGGTTTGGAATGACGGCAGAGGGGGGAAAGGCAGGGAGGAGCGGCGTCGAGAAGGGCGGCAAGACTGGGGCCGGGGCAGTAAAAGGCAGCTGCCGTGAGTACGGCGCGTGCAGCAGGTGGTGCATGCACATTGACGTTGCAGGTTGGACGTGCACTTTGGCGGGGGATGGGACCTGGGCAGACAATCCTGGGGCGATTTCCATTCCTTGGTTTTTGGAGAACGTTGCCAAGTTGCATGTCACATGCATGGAGGGTCCCCCGGTTGGAAGCTGCGCCGCTGGCTGCCCTCCATTTGGGAAACTTGATTTTTTGGGGGGACAGCCGCTTAGTCGTGGGCCTCCCCAGAAAGGCATGTCCCTTGTATTCGGCAGCCGCAACACGGGACGTTGCGGCTGCAATGGCCCTGCAAGTCCAAGGGATCAGGCCTGTTTGTCCGTGGCCATCCGCGAAGAGGCAACTGAGGGATCTGCAGACCTCAACAGGAATATTGGCATGACAATCTTGATCTTGGGATACTTCGAAAACCGGACCGTAGTCCGCCAAAGGGTCCAAACTCCCATGATTGGTGCCCTGACCTTGAACCTGCGTTCCACGTCCCGGAAGTTGGTCTTTCGAAGAGGGGTCGCTAATTGTTGGTTTCTATAAGGGACCAAGATGCTATTGGTGAACTCGAACAATGGCATTCTACACACCTGGCCGTCCACGTGTCTTGCTTCGTTCCCTCCCTTGTCTGAGGGATCTCGTGACTCCTCCGACACGTCCAACTTCTACATGTCTGCATGAACTTTACTGCGTACACAGGCAGACGCAAAGGGGATTACTCAATCATGTCGATATCGTCCGTGGGGGCAGCCGCAGCAGCAGCACCGGCAGCATTTGCGCCACCGTTTGCCTCAGGCGCAGTCTCGCCGGAGTTTCCTCCACCAAAGTAGTCCGCCATCTCGGCGTCCAACTCTTCCTGTGTCTTCCGAGTCCGCCCGTTGCTTCTGCCACCTCCACCACCGCCTCCTCCTCCACCACGGCCGCCCTCCTGGTCTCGCTGGCCCTCTCTGCGGGCACCCGGCCTGCGTCCGCCACCTCCGCCACCCCCGCCACGTCGACGCGGCATGGGGCTGCGCGAGCGGGTTCCGGGAATGTATNTCCGCCACCCCCGCCACGTCGACGCGGCATGGGGCTGCGCGAGCGGGTTCCGGGAATGTATCTGTCGATGCCCTTGCTGGCAGCATCGTCCATGTCGTATTTCCGACCGGGCGACATCGATCTTGATCGGCCTCCGGGTGCGGAGATGCGCTCGGAAAGAGGGCGGCCCGGCATGACTGCAGAGTCGAAAGGATTGCGAGAAGAACGGCCGCCGTGCCCACCAGACATGAACGACAACTTGATAGGTTGGCCTGCGGCGGGTTAGCGTCGGACAATCGCAGGAAAGCACCAGGCTGCATACCATTGGCATTGGCACCATCAAACTCCTTGATTGCCTCCTGAGCGTCCTCGCGGGTTGACATTGTGACGAAGGCAATGCCTTCAGACCGTCCGGCGCGGTCATACTTGAGATCCAGCTTCACGACGGGGCCGATTCTGTTAAAAAGTTCCTACGCCCCTTTTTAGCTTCAACATCCCGACTTTGCGTGGCACTCGTCCATACCTCGAGGTCCTCGGCAGTCAGCTCATAGTGTACGTTATCGACGCGCAGCTTCGCACTGCTGGAGTCTCTGATACATGCGTTAGTATCTTCCCACGGTATTGGACACGTATAATCTACCTTTGTTCCGGCGAGTCACGTCTTCTTCGGTTGTTCGGGCCGCGGCGGGAATCTGTCGGCCTTTAGCAATTGGGTATGAGGCCGCTAAGGCTTGTCGAGCCATACCATGTTCCTCGAAACGATCGTGGACCCATTCACTGTGGCGATGTTAGCATACTGCCAGAACGTTTGGTTCTCGTTGAGCTTACCTATCGAGGTTTCTGGGTTCATCACGGAACGACTGAATCGCAGGCGGCGACACCTGTTAGCTAGGCCCTTCCAATTGACAAGAAGCGGTCCCGATTTTCAACGAGGCGTCCAGCTTGGGCCGACTGGTGCGAGAATCGAAATCGACCGGGATGAGGAGGAAGGATCATTCAACCTGGCCGGTGAGCCTGATGGTCTACCGCGTGCGAACCTCAGGGGTCGGAGTATCGCGTCGTACCTTTCTAACGCCATCACGAGGGTATTCCTGGCGTTCACGTTCGCGCCTCCGAGGAGGGCCACCCCGGCGGTTGTTGTTGTTGTGGTTGCGAGGGCCGCCGCTCTTCTGTTGATGCATCGTCAGCTTGGGATGGGCATCGCGTGAGGAGCTGCAGAGGCGGTACCTTTTCGCCGGCGAGGATCTCGTCGAGACTACGGTCTAACTTGTCCGCCATGGTGAAACTCTGAATAATTGCTGCGGTCTAGAGAGGTTGGGAGACTGAGCGGTAGGCCGAATTGACTGTCGCGAATATTAAGCCTCGGCCATGCGGATAGAAGGTTTGCTGCAGGATGGATTGGACAACCGACGCTCTTTGGATGCGACGACGGCAAGGCGACCTCCACTGCGCGAGGTGAGCTCGGACGGAGCAGCCGACAGCCACAGGATGGGGACCTGGCCGTCTCTGGGCGGTGTGAGTGGCTGTGGCTGGTGCACACCTTGAAGGCTTGAACCACTTGGTACAGCTCTCTCCGCGGTTGGCGGGGCTCTCCTGATTGGGCCAGAGGCGATGGACTCGACGGGACTCGGAACCCACGCCTCGAGCTAACACTTAGAAGCAAATTCCAATCCACCCACCTCACGTCCTGAGAATAGCCTCTGACGGCGCGCCCCATGTTAGAAACTTAGTGGGACTCCACTGCAGGTCTCAGGGGTCAGACTGAGGTGCAGCCTCGAGATTCCACCCCTTCTGAGCCATCCGCATCCGCCTGCAGTTAACCGTGGTCTTAGCACCTCTCAGCGTGGCCGTCGCACGCTGGTCGCAAGTTTACAGCGTTGTCTCGCCCGTAACTGTCAGCGCCCTGCATGCTGAGGTGAGCCCTGGCAGGCCCTGGCAGTCCCTGACAGGAGCACTTGGCTGCAGTGCCGGCCCGGAGTTTGTGTTAGTCCTCGAGGGGAGATGCCGCTAAGCCCCTTTTGTAAGCCCAATTGCAACTCTAGTGTAGAGCTGTCCTCCCCCATGCGCATCCCTTCGATCGACCTGCTACCAGCCCGAATCAACCGTCGGAATCTCGTATCTGGCCAAATTTCTCGCTCCTTCCTGCCAGAGAGAGCCAAGAGAGGGAGCATCTTATCTCGACTTCTGTCCAACCTGCATGGCCAACCTTTCTCTTACTCTCATCTGCAAGAACGCATCTACACTCTTTTGATACTCACGTATCCAATACGCCGAGAGAGCGCGCGCGCCGAACTGCTGTCCCGAAAGCTACGAACCTCCAACCCAGCTGCGTGCGCGAAGAGGATCGAAGCGAACTGCCGTCGACGACAATCCTCCCGTCTGCGATCAAACTTTATGATTTCCACGTCCTCCATCGCCTCCGCGTGAGCACCCACAGCACCCATGGCTCGCCCCATGGGGTCAGTCCGCTTGAAGAAGGCGAACCCAGTGACCCTCGTCCTCGGTGTCTTCCTGTGCATTTTCATCATCGTCTTCCTTGTCGGGCCTTCCAAGTCCTCCAGGCCAGAGCCCGCAGGCACCGCCTCCCACCATCTCTCGCCGCCCACCGCACCCTACCGAAAGAAGTCGAAATCAGACACAAGACCGCCCCCAGTCGTCCGCTACAACCTCAACAATGTCACGATTACTCCCGATCCAATTACCAATCGCGAGTCTGTCCTCATCCTCACGCCCATGTCCCGCTTCTACCAGGAATACTGGGATAACTTGCTGACCCTGAGCTATCCTCACGATCTCATCTCTCTCGGCTTCATCCTGCCCAAGACTAAGGAGGGCAACGCCGCGACCGCTGCGCTGCAGGAGCAGATTACCAGGACCCAGGACACAGAGAAGAAGTTCAAGAGCATCGTCATCATGAGGCAGGATTTCGAGCCCGCCATAGCATCCCAGGACGAAGCAGAGCGGCACAAGATGGAGAACCAAAAGGCTAGGCGTGCGGTCATGTCCAAAGCTCGCAACTCGCTGCTTTTCACCACTCTTGGTCCTCAGACCTCGTGGGTTCTCTGGCTCGATGCCGACATTGTCGAGACGCCGCCCACTCTCATCCAGGATCTGGCCGCCCATGACAAGCCTGTCATCGTGCCCAACTGCTTCCAGCGATACTATAACGAGGACACCAAAAAGATGGACGAGCGGCCGTACGACTTCAACAGCTGGCAGGATAGCGAGATCGCGCAAAAAATGGCTGAGTCCATGGGCCGCGATGACATTCTGCTTGAGGGCTACAAGGACATGCCAACGTACCGCGCGTTGATGGCATACCTGGGTACCGACGAAAAGGACAAGAGCGCAGAGATTCCTCTCGACGGCGTCGGTGGTACGGCGCTGCTGGTCAAGGCCGACGTCCACCGCGATGGCGCCATGTTCCCTCCCTTCGCTTTCTATCACCTCATCGAAACCGAGGGCTTCGCCAAGATGGCGAAACGCTTAGGTTGGCAACCGTTTGGGCTCCCGAATTACAGGGTGAGTAATAAACCCCTGAATCAAGGTCGTGCAACTCATGCTGACAATGTGCAGGTCTACCACTACAATGAGTAATGAGTAAGCATCATGGCGGGATGCAGCAACAGGAGCACGCCAAATACTCTTTTACCCCAGAGGCAATAGACCTGTAAACACCCGTTTCCTCCTTCATCAGCCGCTGTCGACAAGTTCACGGCCCGGGCGGCGGCGGCGGCATTACGAATTTATGTGCGGTGCTTTCTTGTCCATTGGAAACATATGTCTTTTAGTGTGCAGATACCCATCCTGTATCTTGCCGACATAATTGCATTCGAAATTTGAGGAGGGGAAAGGGAGGTGCAAAAAGTAAAGAGACGGCGTTTTTGTAGTATATTTTTTTGCCCATGTCACACAAACAACAAACTACGCATACAGACTTTTATCGAGGCGACGATAGGTTCAGGACCAGGAGTCAAGGAATAGGCACGATAAGCGGGTAGGCAGGCTGCGGGCGCCGGCGAGGATCCTGAGCAGATGCGATGCGTCCCACCTGTGTAAGAATAAACGAAGCGCCAGGGATCGAGAATGGCGGGGAGAAACGGGCTACGTACGGGTGACGCAGGACAGACTTGCAGCATTAGAAGGTGTCTCTTTTTGGTACGTTGCGCCCAGGCAGTGTGATAGAGAGCGAGATGAACATGGTGTTCTGTTTTTTTGCACGAGGGTACATACACCACGAAATGTCCCAACTTCTGTTCCCATGGAAAATTACAGTCTGATGAGCCGTCTTATCAGATGCCCTTCCCTACCCTACCCAACCCACGCGCGCCATCCCTTCCATGTGCAACCAGCCAAGGAATAATAATAAAGATTATAAACTGTCCAAAAGACCCCGTCCCATTTCCGCTCCCGAAATCCCGTCCAAATTTCCTGCTTGTCTCTCCCTTTCGTTGTTGCCCCGTTTCCAACGCAGGGCGTGTTGAATGAGCTTTCTTTTTCCAATGCTCTCTTCCTCCCCTACCTCGAGCAGAACAACACCATGTGGGGGTTCCCACCACGTCAACGAGAGAGCTAACCTATGGGCCGTCGTACCGTCCCTCATCGTCCCGACACCAGAACTCGACGAGGGCGCGGGTGCCCAACACGTCCCCGCCGCGCAGCAGCGCCGCGACGTCGACGTTGAGCGGGCTGTCCGTCTCCGGGTACGCCAGCAGCGTGCGCACGGCGCGCACGCTCTCGAGGACGCTGTACGCTGGTGTCCAGGCGTCCTTCAGCAGGTCCAGGCAGATTTCGCCCGTCTGCAGGGCAATGTTTGCGTGCACGATTGGCGTGACGAAGCGTATCGTTGGCGGGCGGAGGGGGTAGTCTGTCGGGATCTTGATTTCGAGGAGCCAGCGGCCGTCTGTGTTGTTGTGGAAAAGGAGTTGTTAGCAATGTATACACTTGTGCGTATTCTCTTAGCTATGAGCTTGGGGAGTAGGGAGAGAGGGGGAAGAAGGTTGCCAAGAAGCGCAATTGACGAGGAGCGAGGGGGAGGTTCTCTCTTCCATACCATCATATCCATTCCCAATCCCCCGTCCATTAATCACAGCCTGCCACAGCAACAAGTCCTCATCGTCGACCGGCCCGAGCCTCTCGATGCCCCTCTCGTCCTTCTGTTCCCCGCGCCAGACGTCAAGCTCCTTGATGAGGCGCTTGATCGCGCCACGGCCGTCCGACGAGGACTTGGACTTCTTCTTGCCCCCAACTGCTGGGCCCGTTGGGTTTGAGCTAGAATCGGGGAGGTTCTGGATTCGCCACGACATCTTGAGGATGGGCGCCGGGGGGGAAGGAGGTCGAAGGGATGGTGCCAAGAGCTACGTCGTTTGGGCCCAGATTGGTTTCGCGATGCTGCTACTGCTGATCGTGTGTAGACCAGACAGTCGGAATCTGGGAATGTACGGTTTGCGCGCTGGCTCACGTGGAAACTGCTAGTCGCAATTGGAGAGGGAGCTTTGTTGGAGCTTTGGCATGGAGGTGTCGAACTTTCGGATGGGGGGAGCTCTTCGCTTTAGCCCAGACGTCAGGTAGCGTGAGGCAAGTGTATTCAATAGCCTGGAGCTCGACCACGGGGTACCTTTCCCCCAATGTGAGCCAACCAATCAAAGGTATGACGCGACAAAGGAGTGGACCCACGGCTTCTACCGAGGCTCCTGGCCATGCTGTTCAAACGCACATCGGGCCCATCGTTCGGCCCCTGACTTTGCGGGTGCTCTCCGCAAACCTGCGTGCCCCATCGTAGCAGCAGATGCTGTCCCACGATGGAGACGTTGCGTCTCGCTACGAGTCACCCTCATTGTTCGTCTCATGTAATCACGCTCCATCAAACTCAAGGTGACTCAGAAATATGTTCATTAATATTTGTCTACGTCGCGGGTTGTCCATCGTCTACAGGGCTGAAGCAGCCGGCCGACCAAAGAACCAAGAGAACACTGTAATTGTGTCTCGAATTGTCTGCCTCCTTTCTTTTCGCCTTCCTTAATTCGCAATTCATCCCTGATATGTCCAGAGAACGGAAACAAAACCTTTGAACCACATGTTTCCGCCCCCTCGCATAGTGCCTAAAGACATATGGCCGCGTACCTGCTGCTATGCTCATGCAACTTGCTGCTCATGCTATCATCACAAAGAACGCCGAATTCATGTCCCAAAGAAGCTCGTGCTATCGAGAACGCTTGGCCTCACAGTCCGTGTAGAGACCAGCGCCGAGCTTGAGATGCTTTTCATCTGGTGGTAGGAGTACGTTGGTGATGGGTGACGTCTACCAAACGTGTTCGCTTTGGAGTCGTTGCCCCTTTTCCAGTTAAAAAAGACATTATCTCGTCAGATAGATCCGCCGAGAGAGAAGGTGTTAAAAAAGTTGTACAATAATTCCATATACATGCGTCGTGAAGTCACCTTTATCGATGTAGGTGCGCCCCGGGCAGCTTGCGACCAATCGCCCGGTCTGGATGGTGAGAAAGATGGGACTTTTCGACGGTTCTACGCCGAGTTGTCTTCCTTGTTGGGCTTCCAGAATCGCATCATCCGGCTGAGCCGCTTCGACTTGCTGGACTTGTGCTTCTTATCAGTCTCACCATCATATGAAACTTCCATCGAGAGCTTGCTTCTTTCGCCGTGTGAGCTGCTGATCAACCTGCTCAGACTAGCGAGACTCGATCGCCGACGACCAAATGCACCCGATCCGAACGCAGCAGATGACACAGAAACAGGTCGTTGCTGTTCGGGGCGGAAGCTCTCTGGCCTGAATTGAGAGTTGGTGGCAAACGAGCTATCCCTTGTCATGGTTGAATGACTGGAGGTCAAAGAGGGGATGTCCACAGAAAGTCTAACCTCAGGACCCGGCTCGCCGAGAAGAAGAGACTGAAAGTTGTTTTCCTCGTTGACCGACGATGGCGCCGTTGAGATGCGCTGGGCGTCGTAGGACATGGGTGACCGAGGTGATGGGAACGAAGAAGCGTGGCTCATGGAGTAAGGGCTGACGGGAACATTGGAAGGCGTGGGCAAATGCAAAGGACTGACGTCGACAGGCGCCAAGTCCTTGCTTGCGAGAATTCGACGAGGCGAAGGAGTCTCGGAACCGCTTGACTCTGCCTTTTCCTGAAAGAGAGATGCTGTTCGGAATTCTGGCATCTCGGGTAGCTCAGGTACGGGCTCCTCGGGGATCGTTGTTTCTTGCAGAGAAGCCACAGACCTCTCGGATCGCATGCTTGTGCCCCTCTTCACTTCCTTGTCGGTGGTTATCGAAGCTGAATCGGCGGTGCTGTCGTCGACAACGTTAGACGGCATGATGTCGAGTATAGGCTTCGTGAAGGTGGTGGCAGGCGGTGTTGTCTCGTCGGTAGGCACATCCGGGTCAGATTGAGCAGTTCCCCTCCGAGCACCAACACGAGCTTGCGAGGCAGGAGACTTGACGCCATTCTCATCCTCCTCCTCGTCCTCCTCAAACACGTCAGCCATGGTTGAGCTGCTACCAAAGCGGTGAATACCAAACCGGCCGGCTTCGAAGGGGACCATCTCCGGCGCACTCTCTGCTCGCCGGTGGTAGTGCATGCCAGGTCCGCTAAAACCCTTCATGCCCTGCGCGCTGTGCAGCTGGCGCTTCGAGGAGCCTGCGGCTTTCTGGGCTGCCTCCCACTCCGGATTGTTGGGAAGAGGGGTGTTGAAGGGGCCAAGGGCGGCATCCAGGTCGATCATGGGGAAAGAGGTGTCGTCCTGGGCTGAGGCTGGACGCGGCTTCCACTCTTGAACGGCTTGCGGCTGACTGGAGGAGTCCGTCACAAGGAGGGTAGGAGTGACGGGCTCAACGTCAAGTTCTGGTTCAGCGAGGAAGACTTCCTCCTTGACCTCTTGTTCCACAGGCTCGGGTCGGATGACCTCGGCGGAGAGGTCTAGATCCTTGCACTTCTTGGCACGCCGCTTCTCCTTGCGGGTCAGGATAGAGCCAGCCCAGGTTTTGACCTTCTTCTTCTTCTTGGACTTCTTGCCGTCCTTGCTGTGGGGATCGGAGGCGTCCGAGGTTCCTACGAACTCCGAAATATGTTCTGAGGAAGATGACGACAAGCTATTGGGTTTTGATGCAGATTCAGAAGAACTGGAGCTGACAGGTCTATTACGCAAGGGCGATGCTGCTGCAGCGAAGGGATCAAGACCGAAGAATGACCAGCGTTTTGGTGTCTTGGTCGGACTGGGCATAGGCGGACCAACGGTGGCTGCCTCGGCCACGTTGATGAGTGCAGGAATAGAGTTTCGCCTTCTGGGAGAAGCTCCCACAGACTGAATGCTTTGGGACCGTTCTAATACCGCGCCAGCTGTGCTTGGTCTGGATTCGTTGGTCTGGCGTGACGGTGTGAGTACCAGAGGAATAACGGGTTCCGTCTCAATATTTGTGATGGTTGGGATAGAGATGATGGAGGAGATGCTGCCCGATACGGAATGACCGCCGGGTCGAGCTGTGACGGTGCTGGAAGTGTCGCTGGAGACCATAGACAATGGGCGCGGAATGAATTCCAGTGTATCAGAAAAGCCAACGCGAGCGCGGGTCACTGGCCTGGCCACGGGTGACGCTCGGCCACTCGAGCTTGCTGATCCGTCCGACGGGGTGTGCAGCTCCCTGGGCACCTTCAGCGAAGGCTCAGACTCAACATACTTCAAAGTCTTTTCGTCGTGCCCTGTGGGTTGATTCTCCAAGCGTCTGTTGTCGTAGTCAGAAGGGCTCGTTGGCGCGCTGCTCCCTCGAGGGGGCCCTGACGTGGGAGGCTGGAGGATGAGAGACAAATCGTGACTTGAGAGGGCAGCAGATCGGCGATGTTGGTGGCCTCTACGACCCGGGGGCTTAGGAGGGGGTAGTTGAAACCCATTTCCCGCAAATCCACTTTCTGGTCTCGTCGGACTCGTGCTCGCTACTGTGATGGAGTCACCAGAGCGAATGCTTCCGCCGACGAATTCACTTCCTCCTCGTCTGTGGCCGTGGCCGGGCCTTGAGGCAGACAGAGAGTTGGGCGATGGCACGAGGCGAGGTGATATTGGCGGAGGAGAAAGCGGAGGGCTGAGCAAAGCGGTATCGGGAGACAGCGAAGCACCCGGGTTGAATGTGAAGTTTGGGAGCGCAGGCGATCTCCGGTCGAAGGATTCGGCAAAAGGAGACGACTTGTCCTGAATCTCGATGGCTGACAATGGACGTCGCCCAGTTGCCCTTGAGAAGGACGAAGGCGCGGAAGCCGAAGAAGGCCTCGCGGGGAAGACGAAGGGAGGATTCGGCAGAGGAGGCATCGTTCGCGGTGATCGTTGGGGACCTGAGCCAGAAAAGGATGGTGTTGTAGAAGAATTATCCAGCATTGCCGGGAGAGGGAGCGATTGCATCGAAGGGTCCTCCAAAAGGTGAGTAGCCGGTGTTCCCATAAGACTCTCAGGTCCAACAGCAGTTGCCATTCTCGACTAAGCCGCGCTGCGGCAATCGTGACAGTGAGAAACTAGGCGAAGGACATAGAAAGTCGTGAAAGGGAGTAAAGTGGTCGTCGGGAGGAATCAAATCGGGATGTGTTTCGTTTCCTGACGTGGGAGGACGCGTGTTGGAGGATTTGCGAGGTGATGACGAGACTTGTAATTAGTTCTGTGGCATCAGACTTAGCAAACCAGGCTCTCGTCGGTGCTTTTTTCCTTCGTCGTGGCACGGAATGATGAAGGACTGGCGGGCGAGCGGGCACCTTGCGGAAAGTGTCGAATGCGGCGCGAGGGCGATTGGGAATTGGACGAAATTGGCGTTCACGACTGCGGACGTGAACAGAGCCAGGCGACCGGGTAAGACAAATGCTATTTATCGAAGTTGAAATTTTCAAGAAGTTGTAAAGGAGCGGACGGTGCAAGACCAGAAGCAAATCTGCAAGATTCACAACTGGAATTGGACCACGAAGCTGAAGTCAAAGAGCGACAACGGCTTCGGAAAAGGGTTTTGGGGGAAAGAGAGTTGATAGGAAGAAGAGGGGGGTTGCGACGCGGAAGACTAAAAGAGAGGATGGGATGGATGGGTGGATTTGGGATTAGAATTGGGGACAGACACACACCCACACAGAGGCACCACAGGCACCACCACACACACACACTCCCACACACCAGCAGAAAACACAAGAGAGAGCGAGTGTGGAAGCGACGAGTCGGGTCCAGCGGTTGGGGGGTGGAAGTCGGAAAATAGGGGGGGGGCGTGGTGAAGGGGAAGGGATCAGGGAGGGTGTGGAGGCAAAATCTGAGTTGGGTTTGGGCCGGCCGGGGGGGAGAGGGGGAGGATGGAGTCGTGCAGTGAGCACTGAAGAGAGAGTGTGTAGTGTGGTCAACAGTGGGCAAGTGGCAGGCAGACGGGCGGGCACTCGCACTCTCTCTCTCTCTCACCTCACTGATCAGTCCCTCTCTCCGTCCGTCGCGCCAGGGACACTAGACAC